GGACCCAGGGGGCGGCAGCGCCGCGGCGGACCCCCAAACCGGGCAAGGAGCTCCTCAACCAGACGCTGGCGGGCCCGGGAGCTGCCGCCCCCACGGCGCTGCCCGGGCGCGGCAAGGGGGCGGGTGGCGGCAGGACGCCCTCCGGCGGCGGGGGAGGCGGCGGGGGCACGGCCCCGGCCCACGAAACCTGCTGGGGGTACTACGACGTGAGCGGGCAGTGGGACAAGGAGTTCGAGTGCAACAACAGCCTGACGGGCTTCCGCTACTGCTGCGGCACCTGCTTCTACCGCTTCTGCTGCAACAAGCGCGCCGAGAAGCTCAACCAGAGCCTGTGCCGTAACTACAAAAGCCCCGAGTGGGCCCACCCCACCACCGCCAGCGGCGCGCTGCCCGCCGACGGCAGCAACGGCGCCGACGGGGACGCCAACAAGTACGACCCGGACAAGGACAGCACCAACGCCACCGTCTACATCTCGTGCGGGGCCATTGCCTTCGTGCTCATCGCCGGCGTCTTCGCTAAGGTGGCCTACGACAAGGCGCGGCGCCCGCCCCGGGAGATGAATATACACAGGTGCGACCCTTCCCCCGCTTCCAGCACCCTTTCTGTGTAGGGACACCCTCCTCTCCCAAGGTTCCTCCTCCTTTGCACTGCCTCTCCAAGTGTGTCCCCATTGCACCATCTGTCCAACGGTTTCCCCGTCGCATTCCCCATCTGAGGGGTTCAACCACCCACCCAAGGGATTCCCATTTGTGCAGCCTGTCCAAGAGTTTGCCCATCGCATGACCCAACCAATTCCTCCTTTGAACTGGCTGCCCAAGGGTTCCCCTTTGGCACTGCTGTCCAAGGGTTCTCCCACTGCACTGCCCGTCTAAGAAGTCCCCCTGTGAACTACCTATATGAGTCTTTATCCTTTGCACCCGCTGACCATGAGTTTCCCCCTTCCAAGGATTTCCCCTTTGCAATGGTTTGCTAAGGGCTCCCCTTTTGCGCCACCTGCCCAAATGATCTTCCATTGAGCTGTCACTTCGAGGGGTCCCCCCGTGAACAGCTCATCCAAGGGTTTTCCCCTTTGTGAGGGCTGTCTGAGACTTCCCTCCTTTGCATGGAAATCCTAAGATTTTCCCTTTCCACCATCTATCCAAGAGTTCCTCCTTTCCGGGGTCTGTCCGGGGACAACCCGACCGCTTGGAGCATCCCTCCCGACCCCCTCCCACCACCCACCCAGGGACCCGTCCCGCTGCACTTCTCAGCC